CTTTATTGTCTATCTCTCATTCTGTTATACGCTGTATATGTCCCGATTCATACTCCACACATCTCATCTCGTGTATGGCCTTCTATCAATAATCTCGCTCCACTCCGCTCTGTTATATAGGTCTGTAGTTTCTGCTTGCCCCCACAGCTGTTAGTCGCTCCTCATGGCCGCCCGATCATAGCCGGTACTTCGAACGGCGAGCCGGTTACAAAATTAATACGCTCTCGGACCTAATGCCTCAAAGTACGTCCATAGGGCCATTTAAAAACGGGGGGGGGGGGGCGACGTAAAAAAATCCAACAACAGAGAGAGAAGGAGAGGGAAATTGAGAGATGGATAGAGGGAAATTGAGAGATGGATAGAGGGAAATTGAGAGATGGATAGAGGGAAATTGAGAGATGGATAGAGGGAAATTGAGAGATGGATAGAGGGAAATTGAGAGATGGATAGAGAGAAAAACACACAGAGAGAAACAGAGAGAGAGAGAGAGAGAGAGAGAGAGAGAGAGAGAGAGAGAGAGAGAGAACGAGAAAGAGATAGAGAGAGAAAGAGAGAGAGAGAAAATCAACCGTATGATTTCAAAACAATAACTACGGTAATCAGAGTGCGAAGGAATTATTTCTGTTTTCCCTGACTTGCCTGTCGAGAGCTCCTTACCCACTGACCTAAAAATATCTCCTTAGATCTGTGTCCTTACCTTTTCCCGGACATCCGTTAGGGTTGACCATAGAGGTGTTGAAGATGTCTCTGTAGTAGTTGATGTTAGCGTGATTGACCCCGTCGTCAAAGGTCAACATGACCATCTGAGGAACGTCCTTGACCTTCAGGTCGCCTGGAATGTCCTTGCCGATACAGCGGCAGTCTGGCAGCTTGCACCATTTCTTGCTGCATTTTCCTGTTGGCGTCATCAGTTTGGATATTCATTCAGGACAGTTATTTCAGTTTGGCTTAAGCGACTCTTCCAACCTTCCTCGTCTCTCTTTCTCTCCCTCCCCTCCTCTCTCTCTCTCTCTCTCTCTCTCTCTCTCTCTCTCTCTCTCTCTCTCTCTCTCTCTCTCTCACTCCTCTCTTTCTCTATCCATTAATCTCCCTCTCTCTCAATCTCAGCTATCTCTCTCCCTCTCTCTCAATCTCAGCTATCTCTTTTTTTTTGCTCCTCATTCTCTCTCTCTCTCTCTCTCTCTCTCTCTCTCTCTCTCTCTCTCTCTCTGACTCTCTGTCTCTTTCTCATCCTCTTCCCCTCCCCCCCTCTCCCTCTCCCTCTCTCCTTCTCTCCGTCTCTTACTTTCTCACGGAGCGATATCCCGGAAAAGCATCTGGGAAATTCTTGACATCAAAAAGCAGGACAGCATTTTAAAACCAAAAGTCGAAGTTCTCAAAGGGTCAAATACGGAGATTCTGTTGTCTACGTTCAAAAGGAATCAACTTACATCATGTAGCTGGACTGACTAGATCTATGTCGTACAAATGTGTGGTGGCAGAATCTCAAAGGAAGTAATTTTTTTTCTGAGTCGTTCTAGGGGAATCGCAAAAATGGCGCATCAAATAATATTAATGCGCTACAAGGACATCCTAAAAACGTCTCTGAAGAGCTTCAACATGAATTAATCTCTCCGATACGGTAGGACCTAGATCTAGCTCCTGACATATCAAGCTGGCGAGGAGCAATCACAGAAGATAGAAAATCATTATGGCGATTTATGAATTAGAAATGCCTAAGCTAAGTGAGACTCCCGCAAGCTGCGTACATCCAGACGTGGAAATGAAACATTTCAAATGGCAAATACGTGGCAAACTCATCTCTGCCAGAAGTGGTGCCATTGGCATTTGGCAGAAGCCACGCGTCATCTTAGTTTTTATTAATTTCTTCTATTTCTCTCCTGTGGAGACACATTGGTCATCGTCTCTCATTGACGGACAAACTGTTGTTGTTGTTATTATTATTATTACTATTATTATTATTATTATTATAATTATTATAATTATTTTTATTATTATTATCATCATTATTATTATTATTGTTATCATTGTTATTATTGTTATTATTGTTATTATTATTAATATTATTGTTGTTGTTATTATTATTATTATCACCATTATTGTTGTTGTTGTTGTCATTGTTATTATTATTTTAGATATTTACAAAAACTTGTATTACTTGGAGAAGTGTTCCTTTGCAGTTTCTTTCTTTCTTTTTTTCTTTCTTTCTTTCTTTCTTTCTTTCTTTCTTTCTTTCTTTCTTTCTTTCTTTCTCTCTTTCTTTCTCTTTCTTACTTTCTTTCGTTCTTTCTCTCCTCCGCGACCTCTTACCCCTCTTAGTGCTGTACTTCTGCACCGGTGACTTGTACGCGCTGATCTTGTTATGGGAAAACTTCTCCGACCGGTGCAGGGAAAACCTGCTGTCCTCGTGGGCCGCTGGGGCGTTCACCCGCGACGTCTGCCCGTCGTTGGAGGAGAGTGGACGCCGGTCAGTGGTCGGGTGGAGGTCAAAGTTAGCAGACGGCGTCCTGGTGCGGTAGTTGACCTTGACCCTGGGGCTGTGTGGCGCGTTCCTTGGCTTGTACTTGTTGGGTCTGCCTCTCCGGTGAGGTTTCTTCGTGTTTTTGGAAGCAGAAGAGCGCGGGGGTTTTGTGGCAGGGCGCGGAGGGTTGGTGGTGGCGGCAGGTTTTGTCCACCACGGCGGGGAGGAACCGGAAATTGGCCGGACTGTCTGTGAGCGGCCAGGTACACGATCCGTTTTCTGCCATTTACTTCTCGTGGTTGCCTTGGGCGACGCTTCCGGTTCCTTATTGTTGGGCTGTTTGGGGTAATAGTCTGGGATACCTTTCAGGCCGTTGTCGGAGATCCAGTCGTTTCCCCAAGCTGAGATCTGTTGGGCTTTGTTTGCACTGTCAGCTTCTTTTTGACGTTTGTTCTCATTATTTAGCATATACGCTGACTGTGACTTTATGGCTGAGTTGTACGGTCTGAAAGGCGCCGATTTTGGTCTCGGAACGGGTCGGGCTGTCGGTGAGAGCGGCTTGAGACGAGAGTTTCTCTCAGTGCCGCGGGTGGCGCCATTTCTGAAGCCAAATCTGCTGTGGAGGTAGCGGTTGTTATTGGAGAACCGGGAATACCCGTGTGTCTTTCTGTCTTCTTGAACGTTGTCTTGGGTGTCCGCGTGCTTGTTTCTTTGAGAGGCGGGAGGGGTCGGGGCTACGGTTGATTTACCGCGAGGACTTGCCGTGTACCATTTACTATTGCTCTTTGATCTTGATTTGTCTTGTGCGCGTTGATTCTGGAGAGGGGAGATGACCACAGATGTTTTAGTTGGGGCAGCTGCATTCCTCACGCTGTAGCCTGCACGGTTGGCCGGGTTAGGGCTAGAGTAAGGGTTGGGTATGCGGGAGTGGTAGGACGTGGCTGAGATGTAGGGGTTCTTGTTCTTGTTCTTGTTTCCCTGACCTCGTTCTCGCGATGACTTCCGGGTCTGGCCTCTCTTCAGAGACTTTCCCCAGCCGTCTGTACGTCTGGGAGTCGCTGCCTGTTGTCTTCCCGCCGCGTCGTTGTCATGGTTGCGTCTGTCAGTCTTCGGCGGTTTAAACGGGCTTCCCTTCTTGTTGTTCACAGAGTTGTTGTTGTTGTCATGGTTACGCGGTTGTTGCCCGGACAACTGGTGAGATGATGCTACGTAGGGCACAGCGACATGGTAACCGACGTCAGGATCTCTGGTGGCGTCCATCCCGGGTAGCTGGTCTCCTTGGAGACGGACAGAGACGGAGTCATAACGGGGCGCCTGCGGCTGTCTCTGCCTGCCGCCCCTGTAGTGGAGATAGTCGGTGGCAGGGACGCGTTGCGTAGCAACAGGAGTAGTTCTTCTGCTAACGCCGCTGTGAGTGATGTAAGGGTTTCTGGGAGGGTTCACATTCACCGCCTCGTTTCCCTCCACGATTTCTTTCCGCGTCTGTTCCGACTCCAGCAGACAGTTGGCCGACGAGGGCCAGTCGCAGGTCTGTGTTCTCAGGTTGAAGTGCAGCATCCCGGGGCAGGCCATGGTGTACTCGTTACTCCCGATACAGATGTGGAACAAGGCCGGGTTGTAGTCGTCGCAGACGTAACGGTTCTTGATCCCGCCACACGGGGCGTACGCCTGGACACACAGGACCAGAGCCGTGTGGAGGAGGAGAAGCTTCAACAAGATATTTCCTAGTGCCATGTTGCTCAAAAGTAACACACACTTCATCAAACTACAGCTCTGTATATTTGTTCGTGGAATTATACTGCAGTGCGTATAAAGTAAGAGTAAGAGAAAAATCAATCTTAGATTTACAAAAACAGGGTACAATACGAAACAATGGTCGCTCTATAAACTTCACATGATCACTTTAATATAAGAATTTTTAAAGCACACCCTCACTTCGAAAACAGCAGGTTCCTTGGGCAGTCACTTCAGAAAAAATAGATTTCACTTTTGTTTACTTTAAAACACAGAAAGATGTCCGCTGACCACACGAGCAGATTTAGGAAAAGTAGATTATAAGTAGAAAAGTTGCAGCTTAAGGTGCACAAACGCAACACGGCGAAGAGAAGTTGTAGATGTGTGGTCACACTTCAGGTCCACATAAACTGACCACAGAAAAGGAGAATGTCTCTCGCCAGTATTATGAGAAACTGTTACGTTAGTAGAGAATAATTGTTACTTTAAGTTTCAAAAGTTGTGCACAGTTTCCCATTAGTTGTAGAGTCCAGTCCCCTCGGCTGCCCCTGCCCACACTGCCGCTGTGAGCGCTCACGGATTTCCTAATGACATCGTCTGAGCGGAGAGAAATGACAGGTTGCCATATCACGACCTCTCCCCACACCGGCCCGCCACCGGTCTAGATGTTTGAACAATTGTTCAAAGAGAGCTGTGTACTGGCGAAATAAACAAGTTGGTGTTTGTTAACATCCTTCCATTTCGCCCCCCGAAAAGTTAGATTGCTCTGCATGCTCTCAATATGGAGGTACGCCCCGGACCACAAATTTGTGAGACGAGAAGGTCTCCATGAGAGCAGGTCTTGTGTCAACCTGCGCGCCCGACAAACTGGGCCAATTGTGGAGGGGCGGTTGATCTTACGTCGCTGTTTGATCTCGCTGTGCCAGGATTGTAGACGGACATTTGTTTGGACACGAGGAAAAAGCCCTGGACAAATAAACAAACGGCATGCCCCAGGTTGTCCCGGTGAAAGCAGGCTATGGGCCCAGCCGTGGGCGAGATTTGATCGCACAATATGGCGCTCAGAGTTTCAAGTGTGATTGGATGTAACCATTCCCCCCATCCCACACTCCCTCCCCTTGCTTCCTCTCCCCCCTCTCGCCCCCTCTGCATCTCACAGGGGGGGGGGGAGGGAGTGTGAGGTTGAGGGCGAGTGGTTATCGTGCCCCGCCGTGCCGTCTAGACCACGAGAGGCCTCATGGGATGCCGTTCGAGCCCTCGGTCAGTGGTCAATGTCAGACCAAAGTTTCGACTGGTCAGAAATGAGTTAGTGCACAGAAAATGTAGTTCTCACGGAGTCATGACTTTTAGAGGCAAATTCCTGACCTAGTTTTGTGACAAAGACAGAGACAGCCAAGGTAACGAGTGGGTTTAATGTCACTTTCTCTGGCATTGGATTCATTAACCCCAACAACAGGTCTGGCCTTTTTTTCTGACGTAGCTTTACAGCACACACTCAAAATCAAAGACGTCATTTTTGAGGTCCCACCTGGCTTTTGTGGTGTAGCAGTTAGGTGCCTCGCTGTCACACACAGAAGTCAAGTAAAGTTGTTCCCGCATCCGATCCGGACATTGGGGATTGCCTTGTTAGTGAGACAATTTCCTTTGATCTTCGGCATATTGTGGTAGGGTGGCCAGTTCCTTTCCACGCCGCCTTTACTTCCCCAACTCGAAGTCAAGTACCCATTACTGCTGGGTGGGCAGGAGGGGGCAAAAAAAAGTTCTGTGTCCCAAACGAGGCTCGAACCCGGACTTCCCCCTTCCGAGACGAGCGCACTAACCGCTCCGCCACCGCACCCACACACACAGAAGACAGAGCTCAATTCCTATTACGTGGGGAGAGTTTTTGTCAAGTTTCTCCGACTTAACATTTCTGCCATGAGGTTGTGTATGCCGTAATATTATCCCTCTCAGCCCGGGCGAGCTCAAACAGGCAGGGGTCGAACCAGCTCACATCCTAAATTATCTAAACAATGTCGATGGATGGCCCTCTACCAAAACTTCTACAATTATTGTTTTTTCCCACCTAGTGTGTGTGCTCACTTTCTACAGGCCCAACAATTCCTCTTCTCCCCCCCCCCCCCCCAACCCACAACTTTTTTTCGAACTCGAACTCCTCCCCCCCCCCCCCCCCCCTCCAAGTTCAATTTCGTCCAGTTTCGGGCAGGCGTTCGGCGTTGCGTCAACTCGCCGTGTCTTTGTTTTGGCATGTGCAGTTTGCTGACACTTTCCATCGGGACTCGCTGCTCTTAACCCCTTATGCCCATATTTAGCCGTGTGCGAGAGAAGAGATATTCCGTGGGTTTACTTTTTTCTCTTTCTTTTTTGTAATTCGGAAAAGGGACCAGGATTTTTGTGTGATTCAAATCTAAACAGTGTTGCTATTTCGATGACGCAGGTGCGGTGCATGAGGAGAGGACCGAGGAGGGGATATCGGACCGTTGTTTATTGTGTGTGAGTGGACGAGATCGGCGCCGGACGCCAGACGGAGATCTGTGCCAAAGAAACGCCGGATTGATCAGGTGGTGAGATTCATCTCCGGCCTCTTTTTTCGAACGTTTCCTTTTTTTGAAACCGTGGACACCACGCGGAGAGAGAGAAAGTGAGAGAGAGAGAGAAAGAGAGAGAGAGAGAGAGAGAGAGAGAGAGAGAGAGAGAGAGAGAGAGAGAGAGAGAGAGGCACGTCACAGGTATACAGACAGACAAAAAGACAGACAGACAGAGAGATACAGATGGACGGAAATATACAGAGACAGTCAAGAGAGAGTAAGAAAAAGATAAAGAGAGTGAAAGAGACAGGCAGATAGATAGATAACGAGAAAAAAAACTGAAGATTGAAACACTATCATAGAAGGAGAGAAAGTGAGACAAAGAATCAACAGGACCTGCCAGTGGCGCCCTCTAACTACGTCTATGTACCGTCACAACAAAGGGAGACAACAATGGCCCCCGCAGAGTCGGCAACAAGGCGGACACACGCTCTCCAAACGACGCCTCGCACATAAGTCACGTGACGGGAGATCCGCGGGAATCAGTTCCGCCCCGTGGGCAATTAGCCATTCCTGGAGCAAGCCGGACGTTTGTTCCCCCTGTGGCCGGACCAACGGCTCACACTGTGCAAGCACGGCCATGGTGGCCGCCACAGAGTTTAGTAGTAGGTTTTAGTAAGGTTTTACCGCGCTCGCAACTGCTGAAGGTCATATGAGCGCCAAGGGGTGGATGTCAACAGAGCAGTCCAAACGGGGAATCAGGCTTACTCTGCTCACCTCTCTAGCCTCAACAGCACAAAGTCTGCTTCGACTATCAACCGGAAATAGCAGTTCACAAGACAGTGACAAACATACAAAACAAGTGGAGGAAAAATGACGATAGTAAGGAAGAGGAAAGAAAAAGCAGCAGTTCCCCCTATGTTGTTCCAGCACAGTATGAGCATGACATTGATGAATCGGCCTATTTACAATTCTACTGTGCATAGGAACATGTCAATAAAGACACCTTAGTCAGTAGCACTGCCCTGCTGGGGCAGCCACAGACTGACAAAGTCTGACAGTTTCTGAAGTCTGACATGTAAAACTGTGTAGTTCATTGTTTTAAATTTTAAAATCATTTTTTGGGTAAGTGTTTAACGGCGCTCCGCAACTGCATAAGCTTATATGAGCGCGCGGGACACACCAAACATTTTGAGTTGGTTGGAAATTTTGAATTTATCCCGGGTGGCGGCCGAAGCCTACTCATATCAATTTTGGACTACCAAGGGACCTTTAACTTGCGCAACTCGTGCATGGGATCTACGAGATTTTCCGCCCTTGTCCGAGGAAGACTATGGGTAAATTTTTCCTTCCAAAAGATCAGGGGTGTGGCTGAAAAAGACAGCAGCAAGAAGGAGCCAGTTCGTAGCAGTAGAAAGGCAGCAGAAAGAAGGAGCCAAGGAGAAGCAGTAGAAAGGCAGCAGAAAGAAGGAGCCAAGGAGAAGCAGTAGAAAGGCTGCAGAAAGCCACAGATGGACAAACTCTGACATTTTCTAAAGTCTGACATGTGAAACTATCGTATTAACACCCCTTTTCAACACTGTAAGGTTATTTAAGAGGCGGGACCTCCAAATTTAGCGTCCATCTCCAAAAGGGCAGAGTGAACCCAATATGAAATTCGTGTAAAGTGCCTTTCCATGGGACACAATGTCGGACGGAGCTGAGGCTCGAACCCCTGAACTCGCAATTTTAACGATTACGGGTGTGGTAGTCTAACCACTTGGCTACAGTCTGACATCACCCTAGAATCTGAGCTTTGACTAAAATGTTGAAAAAATCAGAGTTCCTTTTCCAAACATACTAAACGCCAAATTCGGACGTTTGAAACTCCATCCGCTGCTTAATCTTATTATAAGAATTGGGGTAAGATTAATTTTCCGAAATCTGATTTTTTTGACTGTGTTGTAGGCCTACATGTATAGTCTGGTTGAAGTGACGGGTTCTATTGCAAAATACACTACACTCCAAATCTGGAGAAATCCCGGCAAACACGCCCAGTCCACAATCTTATGATACGAATTGTCTTGAGAATACAATTTTATCCCTTAAGTCTTTGGTGGACGTTGTCAAGGCAGTCTGCAGTTTTGGATATAATGCTGCCAAGGAACTTGAATTTTACTGATTTCTGCAAGGGGTTCTCCAAAAAAGTGTAATGGGTGTATTTCTGATGATAGTCGTAGTACTTCTGTTTTAGATACATTTATTATAAGGCCTACGTCTTCCGCAGCTTTTGCTAGTTCGTTTGTTCTTTGTTTTTTTTGTTGTTTTTTTTTGGGGTTTTTTTTGTTTTTTGTTTTTTTTTTTTTTTTTTTTTTTTTTTTTTTTGGGGGGGGGGGTTTCATTGCCTTTCATGTGCTGTGGTGTTTAATATTTGGTCTAAAATCGACAAGAGTAGGCTTCGGCCGCCACCCGGGCAAAATTCAAAATTTCCTA